AGATCAGGTTGGAAAGAGCTCTGAGCAATCTGATTTTGTTAAAGACGGCCCTGCTCACTGCAGGGGGGTTGGACTACATGACCTTGAAAAGTCCTTTCCAACCCAAAGCATGCTATGATTCTATGATAAATATGTTATGCCAGAGGTGCTCCCACTGTTGCTGATGGGCTCAGCCTTGGCTAGCAGCAGGTCCATCCTGGAGCCAGCTGTCATTGGCTTTATCAGGCATAGGGAAAGTTTCTAGCAGTTTCTCATAGAAGCCACTCCTGTAGCCCCACCACCACCAGAAGCTTGTCACACAAACACAATGCACAGGCACATTCTGAAAACCACTTTGAGTTCAAGGTCTGTATTTTGAAAAATATTTACTCTTGATTAGAAAAATCAGTGATTAAAAAAAAATCTACCTCAATCTTTGACAAACTCTATTAGTGACTTCTTTTGCTATCAAAAGTGCCTTTCTTTTAGCCTGTATTTTTCCAGGCCAAATTTTCAGCTTTTGCTATTTGAAATGTCTTTGCCTGCTACACTACAGGGATCTCCTTATCAGTTTTTATCAGTTTATAAACTCCAAGAAATTATTACCCACATTGTAAAAGTGCAGAGCATTGTACTTTTTAGTGCTTAATATTGCTCCATTTTCATTACTCTAATCCTCAACATTACTCAACAGTATGTTAGTCCATCTAAATTAATTAACCAGTTCCTGCAGTTTACCACAATTCCCCATTTTGGAATGAAGGTCTAAGATATATCGACTTTTTTTTTTCAATATTACTTACAATACTATTTAATTTAAACTAAGACCATTTTTGTAATTTCATCCAGGCTTATTTTCTTTGAGTATGTTTCCTATAACTCCTCATTAATTGCCTAAAGAAGCTTTGGTTCTTAGTGATGAAGCAGTTATTCAGCAAATAAAGCAAATTATTTATCAAATAACTTAGGCAACTACTATATTCTAAAATTAGGCCTTCGATTCATAACAGTTTTTAATGGAAAAGTACAACTCTCACAAGCAGTAATCTAAGGACCTCACTTATATGGCTATCTATATTGAAAATTCAGCCTCAAGTGTCTACAGTAGACTTCCAGCTCCATCTCTGAAGAATTTTTTCAAAGTGATTTTGATGAAAGCATCGCCCTGTTCTCAACACTTCTTCTTATACCTTTTTATTTAAAAGAAATTCAGCTTTAGCAAATACTCCTAGTCTAACACTTTTATTATCTCCATCATTTTCTATGCAGTGCACACACACAATACTTTTAACATTCACTGTATAGGCTCTTCTACATCTTGCTCTTGTATTTCAATTTCCTTCAATTCTTGAAAAACATTCCCCATCTCAGAATACATACCTCTCTACCTTTACTTGACATTTTCCTGCTTATTTGGGCTTATTTCTTTCCTGCCTCTATCATCCTTTCATCAATGTTACACTAAGAGCACCTGTTCAACAGAATCCCCCCCTAATATGGTTATCTTTTCAGAATTAGTGCTTCTGTCAGACTCTTGAAAGTCCACTTTTTGTTCATGTATCCTTCACACCCTGAGTACATGACTGTTCACACTAGTGTACTGAGATGCAATTACTTACCCAAGCCCGGCTTGCAGTGCAATTACAACTATCCAAATTTCTCTAGCTATGTCCATGAGTAACCATTCTCACCATTCTTAAAAAGTCTATCAATGGTGACTTTTCTAAAACTGTTGATTGAAAATACTCTACTAGAGTTGTAGGTATATGATTATTCTCTATTTTCAAGAAAACTTTCAGATTGATCAGTTATGTTTCACCCACATAATACACAACATTGGACATGAGATATAGCTGGAAAAAAAATGTGCTGTACATTGATAGGGTAATATTAATAAATCAGTGTCCTCAAGGTGTAAGAGGCAGAACAGTGTGCAGCCAGAGTTCTTTCCTTTAAAAGGAAAGTTGAAAAATAACAGCTCATTTGATGCAGGACTGAAGCTACAACAGTGTGTTTATAAAATCAGGTAGTCAAAAGGTAATGTTATACTGAGAATAATACTGCTTTATTAATATATCAACACTCCAATGTTGTATTTGTAACGAAAGGAATTTATACTACGGATAAGAGACTTCATTTGGTAACTACTATTACTTCATACTGAGCAGAAGGTAGTTTAATACTAGCTCCTTTATGCTTGAAACACCTCAAAGGATATTATAAAAAATTGAGTTAAAGACTATTAAGATTAATAAAGATAGCAAAGGGTAGCAGTTAAGAAATCACTACAGCTCATGGTTATTTGAATAGGACAAAGAGAAAATGACAGTGTGGTTTTCTACTATTGTATTTCAGTATTGCCTCTGACATTTCCATTTTCATTTGGTTCTTCTTTATCATCTCCCTCAACTAACTGCCTGTTTAACAATGAAACCCTTTATCTCACTCTGAGATGCCGAAATTCTGTGTCATCATCATGCAGAAAACAAAATTCTGTTCTCCTATTCAAACCCAAAAAGTCCAGGTTCAAAACAAAAATGTTGCTATTGTAACTGAGCTTCGTAATTCAATAGTAAAAATGTTCTGTGGGATATTATTGCTTTGAAAGATAATTAGAATTCCAGTTCAATAACCTTGTTGTACAAGTACTGACATTACTCTGAAGATGTGGAATCTGACACCAGATTTTATCCGCATAATTGAAGCAGACTAAGATGAATGCACTATAGCCTGATTTTGTTTTTCTGTGTGTTAAATACAGTTCCAAGGCAGCCTGACAGAATGCAATGCCTTCACCTGAAGCTGGGAATTTCATCTTCTATTGCCCAAAATTTCTGCCTTGTGACAGAACTCTGCAACTTCCCCTACATCCAGAAAAGAGTCAGTCTTGACATCTATTAGGAGGAGTAGGAAGAGGGTTCCAGATAACAAAGGTCAGACTGGTACAGAAGTATTGCATCAAGAAAGTGAAGAAGAAAGGAAAAGGGAGCATTCATGTGAGAGAAGCTAGAACCAAGTGACTTCTTTCAGGAACGGATATTTGGAACCCAAAAAAGCTGTACATTGAGTTCCTCACAAAAAGGCAGTGTTCTTGCCCTACCAAGACTCAGTATATAACCAGAAAAGTGGGCATAAGGTTTACACCACAATTCTCTCATGCCCCTCTAAATCCATTTGACATGTCAGAAAAATATCCTTTTCCTCTCTTTTCCCTCCATTTATTTCTAAGTTTTATGGGGAGAAAATAAACAGAATTCTCTTTTCTTGCAGCCCCACCTACCAGCTAATCATTAGAAGGAATCCTAGCAGAGACAGTTTATTCCCTCATGCTTCCCTCATGTTGGAGTAAGTCCAGAGGAGAGCCATGAAGATGATCAGAGGACTCTAGCACCTCTGCTCTGAAGACAGGCTGAGAGAGTTGGTATATCATCCTGCAGAAGAGGAGGCCCCAGGAAAACCTTATAGCAACCTTCCAGTACCTAATGGGGTTCTACAGGAAAGCTGAAGAGGGATTTTTTTACAAGGATATGTAGTGATAGAACAAGGAGTAACAGCTTTAAGATGAAAGAGGGTATATTTAGATTAGACGTAAGGAAGAAGCTCTTCACTAGTGAGACACTAGAACACATTGCCCAGAGTAGTTGTTTGTGCTCCATACCTGGAAGCATTGAAAGCCAGGCTGGATGGGGTTTTGAGCAGCCTGGTCTAGTAGAGGGTATTCCTGCCCATGGCAGAGAGGTAGGAAGTGGATGATCTTTAAGGCCCCTTCCAACTCAATCCACTCTATGGTTCTATAATCCCTTGGCTGTCTGTTGCATTAAGCAAAGAAAAAAAAAAAAAAAAAAAGTAATGCTATACATCTGGTACATATTGAAGGAAAAATACGCTGAAAAGACCTTTCTTGTTGTCTAAATGTTTGCAATTAAATAAACATGAAGGCAAAGACATACAACAAACTTCACAAGATTCACATGTGATTATATTATGACAGCAAGAAAAAAAATTACTATTCAACATCTTCAGGGTAACAGTCAACAATACAACAGAACTAAGAAATTTGGGGAAGAAAACAATTTGTGAGAAGCTTTCGAAAGAAAATACTTAGTTTGAGATTGCATCTCTCTGTTCTACATAAACAAAACAAGTCTGGATTGTTGTACTGTTTATCATATGAGAAGCTTACAGACTTACATGGCATTTCTTTGATAAGGAATGCCAAATATTTAACAAATAATTAAGTTCTCCACCTCTGCCTTCACAGTTCAGGGAAACAACTTGGAGACTACAAATTATTTTACTTAGTGGTAGAAAAAAGCTGGCAAGGTTCCATGTATTCCATGTTTTCAGAACAAGATTCTTCCAAATATTTACACTTAAAAGTTACATGCAAATTTTGCTTTGACTATTGAAGGATAAAATTGCCTTCCCATTAACTTCGAAGTTTTAACCATAGTAACACAGTCTTCCTTCCTATATGCCTCTAGAAAAGATATAGTCCTAAATTATAATTTTAGATTCTTAAGCAGTATTTTAAAATCTGAGCTACAGGAAGAAGAGAACTGGGCTGAGTTAAATTTGCTCAAAATACACACTTTCAATGCATTCTCTATAGCAAGAGTAAAAATATCCAGAAATTATTCTTTAATAAACTCCTACAGACTCAAGATCAAATTTTTAAATAATCGTGGTTAATTTATATCTATAATTCTCTCTGTCAGATCATCATAGTTAAACCAAGAGAAATAAAATTGCCTTTTAATGATTTATTATGAGTGGCCCACTGTCCCCAAAAAGCAATACTGTGCATAAGAAAAAGATTGTAAATAGAACATAAAAACCCTACTCTTGCACAGAACATTATTTTTACCAGTTCCAGATAGCCATTGCATTTTATTGCCATTCTATTTAACTTGCTATATTAAGTTTTAAAAATTTCACAAAGCAGATTTTTTCTATTCTTCACAAAACACCACCATCTCTGGTTCACATCTTCTATTTACTGAATTATTTTATGGGCTTACCCCCAATATCTGGCCGAAGCTTACTGTCATATCCTTGAAGTAAGGAGTCCAGTATATGAGTTACATCCCCACCATGAATCTTTGGCGCAAGGACCCATGTTTTATTCACTGTTAGATCTTCATCGTCTTCATCATCTGCTTTATCAGCTCTGTGGTGAGTGAATGAAAAAAGACAAGGTTAGGAAAAATAAACCCAAACACTGAAACCAAATAAACAAAAAGTGAAGAAGAAACTGATAAAATATTGAATACTATTTAGAGTACTTCATAAAAATCCAAATGCATTCTGTTGCAAAGAGAGTCAGGCCCTTATTTAAAACACCAACATTTTGTTTTACAGCAGTAGAGTGTAAGCTAATAAATATGTCAAGAGAGGCATTAAGACATCACCTATACAGAAAAACTCAGGCCGCAAGTCAAACGTATAAAAGCAGCAGTAGACATCCTCTTACTGCCTTTCCCTGCTTTTAAACACAAAATATAATTCCCAAGCTTTTCCCTACATGTATTTCATTTTCAAATCATAGTATTAATATTTTTGAGATGCTTAATTATGGTAATAAATACATCTTGGTATCAAGAACATTAACAGAAACTCCTTCCTAGCAGCCTCCATTCGAGCTATGATATAAAAAAAATAACACTTGTATACTTACTGAACTCCCTTCAAATTTTAAGAGTGCCAACAAACATTACATCCATGTGCTATGGCTAAACATTCACAGAAGCTTGTATTACATATTCAAATGCCTATGTGGTACTGTTAAAATGCTGTATCATTCCTTTCGTTTAAAAGAACATTTGTTAGCTACCTGTTTTATAAAGATGAAACAAATATAAAAGGAAAATGCTTACACATTCATCTATTGCATAACTTTTAATTAGATAAGCCGCAGCATATAGTTAATCACTAAGTCATTAGAAAGAAATGGCAATACCTTGGTTGCATCTGTACATTCCCTCAGATACCACCAGAAGGTCAAAGAATGCCTGGAAGTAGTTTTCTTTCCATTTGAATCAAATGAGTGTGGACTTAAGTATTCCTCCAGCACTAAAGTTTGCAATCCACATGACTCATCCAGCTTATTTCAGGGAACTGCTATGGGCCTCAAGTCAACCAAAGTGCATCAGTCTGATAGCAGTAACTCTGACAGTCATACAACGTATCTTCACAAATGGACACTGGCTAGAAATTATTACAGAACGTATGCAATCCATGTAAATCACTTTCAATGTTTGCATAAGCATAGATATTCCAGTAAAAGAAAGGAATTAAATTACTGACCTTGTACCAATTTGTATCATACACCGAAACAAAAAATGTTACTGCTATATTATTAGAAAGGGTTTCAAGGGCTTCTAAACTGCGCTGACATATGTTGCCCTCAAAACTAATGACTGTATTTTTCAGTACATTTTTTACAGGAATGAAGACCACCAGCATGTTACATGTGGATACAACACTATACCTTCAGGAAGGAAGGACAGAAAAAGTCAGGAAAGGTCAGAGATGGAGTAGACATGTCTAGTGTTTATTACACTCCTTTGTGGGAATGTCCCAAAACAGTCTGTATTCATAAGACCTTGCATCACCTCTCAGAGAGCACTGAAAAGTGGTACTCGCTTTTCAAGCAAGTAAAGTCTCACTGCAAATCAAGACTATCATGGCTGTGGAAACCTCTCAGTGGTTTTGGCATGCCTGCTTAATTTGGAAAGTGCAAGGAGCTTGCCACAGCCCAGGAGGTTCTCAGAGGAGGAACAAAAGGCACTGTTTGGATATCAAGACTTTCATAGCTAGCTTACTGCAAACAAGTCGCAAGAGTCTATTATAGCCAAAAGTAATATGCACTCTAAATACATGGTTCGCTGTTAGCTTCCTCTGTAACAGTCTGAAAAGCACTTTCATTCTTTTAAATTGAAATGCACCATGAAATACTTAATCTTCACTGCACTACATAGACATTATAGAAATGTCAGATATTAAATATTTAACATCTCCCATTAGCAGGATCCCACTAATGGTAGCACTAAAAGAAGTAGGAAGCTAAGTTTTGTAAATGTACATTCTTTTTCCCTCAAAGCTACCTATTGCCATCTCTTTCATGTTTTGTTACCACATAGCTTTTTTTTTAATCTAGATTTTTGGTCTGCTTGCACTTTATGTCATCTAATTACTATATAAATTAGCTTACGATTGCTAGGAGTGCAGAGGCAATCCCAGTCTTTCCCTGGGGCATTAAGATGATGAGGATTAAAAATTTATAAGCAACTCTCTCAGGAAAGAGACATGCCCACTACAAAACTGCCCTTTTCTTCTTCCTCTTTTTGTCCTCTATCCCACAAACAACAGAAAGGACAGTAAACTACCAGAGCTCTGTACAGACCCAGGGCACCTGAGACTCAGGATCAGCCCAATTATTTGCAGAGAATTTAAGGTGATGATGGCATAATTTTGCCCTGCTTTAATGTTCTTTCCACATCACTATTAAGAACAGCATAGACAGACAAAAATTAAAAGTACAAGAGGTCAGGCCATTCCTACCTAAACCCAAGAGGAATTACAACCCTGATAGCTCCACCTGCAGTCACTCAAATATCTTGACATTTTTAGGCGCTCTTAACTTTATTTATAGATTCATGGGACAACTCAAGTGGGAAGGGATCATGGAAGGTCTCTAGTCTAGCCTCCTCTGAAAGCAGGGCCAGCTCTGAGGTCACATCAGGTTGTCATGGCTTGATCAGGTTGGGTCTTGCAAACCTCTAAGGATGGAAACTGCACAACCCCTCTGAGCAACGTGCTCTCCACTTTTCTCTTTTCTGCTATTTATGGCATTTAAATAAACTTTGAATTAACAAAAAAAAAAAAAAAAAATCAGATTTTCACTTTCTGTCTTGCTTGATTGGAGGACATCTAGTCCTGGTCCAATTTTTAAACTCTGAACTACAAATAAGCATACAGACTAGGACACCGATAGCTTGCAGAAAATAATAATGCAGTTTCAGGGGAGGGAAGAGAAAAATTCCATTCCAACATCCAAGAGCTTTTCCAGCCACTAGTAAGTAAATAAGTTTAAGGAGGCACTTTTATTAGAGGCAATATTTCTCTACGTAGTGTCTGACAAAAATCTTGGCTTAAAATGTGCATTTCCTACTATTTACACAGAACTATTTCATTTTATCTAGAAAATATTGTACACTGAAAAACGTGCCAGCTGCTAGAAGAGAAATACACTAGACTTCCATACCAGTATATTAGGTTACCAAGAGCTTATGGCTCGCTAATTCATTAGCTAAGTCAGCAAAGAAACCAACACAAATCAGAAATTAACATAACCGAACGTGGAGGAACCAGACTATTGCAGTTCCAATCAACTAGTCTTACTCTCTCTATTCCTATCTTACCAGCCTTTTCAGAGATGATTGACTGTGATTAACCCATCTCACTACCAGAATACCATCTTTTTAACTCTTCTTTAAAATGTGTCCAAGACTACTGAGCATGCAATAAAGACTATAACATCTCTGCATTGCTGATGGCACCCAGTTCCACACTTTTGATCCCTAAGTCGTAGGTACTGATGCGCAGCCTCAGGCCTGAGATAAGAAAGGAATGATTTTGGCTGGAAAAAGGAACTGACCTGAATATATAAAGTCTTCTGTATGGCCTCCAGTGAACCAGAACACACGACATCTGCCAACGTAAATTCTCAATAAAGATGTTTGGTGGGGAGTTGCATAAAAATCCCCCAAAAGAACACCTAGGCACATGATGACAATAGGACAGACATTCATTTCTGAGAATCTGGATTATTGATCTTTGTCATTATAAACAGATTTGAACTACACTGTAAATGGTAGAAAATCCTTCAGATTTACACAGTTGGCAGGATCAGTTGAGATGGTGTTATCAGGAAGTAGCTGAGGTTGTTAGATCATGTTCTTTAAAGAAACGTTCACTTCGGAAAAAAACATGGTTTGAAACTGTTGACCTTTTACCTGAGTTTCTGTGTGTCTCACATCGCAAAGTCCAGCTTTTTCTCTAGGGTTTGGAATGAGGTAGAAAGAGAGAAGCCAGCAAACTTCATTTCAAACCAGAAATCCAGGTATGCCATTCAAATATTTAGTAGCAGTTAACTTGGGCTGAGCACCTTTTTACCTCTCTGCAGTTAAAATAAATCTAACAAACACATTAAGATTAATGTCAATTAACTCCACCTTCACTTTAATAGTAGCACTCTCCCCTCTCTCTCATAACTCCAGGAAGAAAGGCAAACTTAATTAAAGAGGAATTCTTTTCTTTTCCAAGTTCATATAAAGGTTATTTCACTCTACACAGAACATAATACGTGATCTTTTCTCCATTTACTGTAAAACATACTTCTTTTCTAAGCAAGTTCACTCACCAGGTCTTTTGCAGGATGTCTGAAGACACGATGATTTAGAACAAAAATATGACATCAAACATTAAAAGATTTCTGTTCCATGGCACAATGCTGTTGTACATCTAGTACTGTGTTAATCTTGTTTTTAATGATTTTATAAATAAGAAAGAGACCTCACTTCTGAACATGCTTGTTATAACACTTCAGCTAGCCTCATAAACTCAACAGTAAACTGCATGTACACAGTTAACAGTAATTAGATAAAATGTGCCCTAATTATGCTCTCTGTCCTTCAACTAATTGGAGACATTACCATGACTAATAAATCCCTGAGCACAAGTGACTAATGACTAAATAAGTCTTTTCAACACCAGGCAACGTGTTCATCTTCAGACTTTAATACCATAGGTCTTTGTTCTCCTTTAAATATGAGAAAAAAACAATCAGGTGAGCTTTAAGTTGCAATTATCATCTGTCAGGCTATGTAATGAAGTGGAAGAAAAGTTAATATAGTGAGTGCTCCTACTGCTATTTGCTTCATGTGTATTAAAATATTATACATAGAAATACATGCCTAGCATAGGTGGGAGTAAACACAGCCAAGTCCCAGACTCCTATTCCCACCCAACACACCTAAGGGTACCTCATCCTCCAAGCGGGGTTACTTATGGGAAACCTGTAGATTTCTGAAACAGCAGTAGAGATAGGTCAGTGAACATTAATTATCTCCACTAACACTTCATGCCTGTGCGCAAGCAACTCAATCAAGCCCTCATTGGCCATGAGGTTTACACAACCCTGCTTGGTTGTTTAAACAAAAAAAGTAGGTTTAAACAAAAAATTTAAATAAAAACTAGCCCAAAAAATAGGCTTTTGTCTATTTGGAGACAAAGTGATCCTTCTGTACAAGTAATACGCTGATGAACATTTAATAAGTAAGAAGGGAAGTCAGTATTTCAGATAATTTCTGCGCTGAAAGAGTTGAAAGGAACATAGCATTTTACTTTCTGCCTTACACATGCAAATGAGAACAATAAGACTAGCTGTATTAATTCATTTATGCAGAGGACCTTCTCCAACGCCGGCCAAAAGCAGTTGCTTCAGGAGTTTTACCGATACAGAAGTAGGACACAGGACTTATCTAAATCATGAAATATCCTCCAGACAGCTGTTATTCACTGGCTGTGCTTCCCAGAACATCGTATTTATGTCCTTTGTCTAAGTATAATATAATTTAATCTTTATTTTCCAGTACTTTAAAAAAAAAACAATTTCTCTCAACTTTCAGACAAACTTTTTTTCCCAAATTGTAAACATGAGCAATTACTTTATTAGCAACAATACAGCTTCAGAGGTTTGTCAGAAAACTGCACTTAACCAGGCAATGCTTCATAAGAAGTCAGTTCAGACAGACAAGGTTTCAAGGGAAGGTTTCCAGCTGATCAGTCATCGAACCAGATACTACCTTATTCCAGAACACCAAACATGGTATGCTGTATATGGTAAGGAAGTATATTTCATGTCCCTATCAATGACTGTTCAGAGGTTATCTAACCTAGCTAAATTCCATGCATAAAATAAGAACCAAAGTGCTGCTGAAACACACAACATAGTCATGGACATCCCAACATCCAGACTCAGGCCATTTAGAGGCTGGTGATCATTCTAATTCAGAAACTAAATTAGAAAGTACTTAGGCATGTGTCACATGAATAATCAAGGCACAGGACCAGGTATAGATGAAAATCTGAACCTTAGAAGGATAAGTTTAAGCAGTGCCTAGGACAGAAGAAAATTCCTAGCAGTCAGAGCAAAACACAGTCTCAACGTGGTAGGCATAAGTAATTACTCTTATCTCAGCAATTTAAAATACATTATATATTTCCTTGGATCTTCCTAAGATAAAACAAGGGCCTCAGACAGACTTGTAGTATCCTGCAGAACCTGAAAAAGGATTGAGACTTCTGCACATACACAAATATTAATTCTTTTCAGTAGCAGCAATAGCAGCAGGACCACATAGTCATGGCTGCTAGAATAGGACACAATTACATTTTTCTTCAAAAGATTTTCTTGAAAGCTTGCTTTTACTGCTAGCTGTCAGTAGCAAATGGCTTAAACATCTCTTAAGATTTATCTTCCAGACTTGATGGCTGACTTCATACTCATCAGTTCTATTACATTTCTGCAGAAATGAACTCTGTTTTGCATTTCATCATCAGCTTCTTCACTGATACGCTTCATTCATCACAGAAAATTTCTGGGAAAATAATCATAACTGCAAGCAAAGAAACGCAGTTACTGAAAAAATGTCTCCAGAAAACATTACTTGCCCTTCCTAATCCTGTGGAATATAGAGTCACTGATGTATTCCTTCATCTTCATCCTTCCTTATACTTGTTTAGACATTCTCTTCACAAAAATCTCTTTTATTTTCCCCTCACCTATTCCATCTCAGATGCTTTTATCAATCTATTTCCCCCTCTTTCTGCCTTGCCAGACTGGCATATTCTTTTGTGTGTCAAAATGTATTTCTCTCTCCCAACAAAGTATGTCTTACTTATTCCCTGTATCTTTTTTCCAGTATAACTACTGCATAGTTAGGTTGATTCTTCCTCTCAATACACACACGGTCTTGTGCTCTATGCCTCTAATCGCATATTTGTCTGGCTATTTATCATTTCCTACCCTGTTTTTCCCTCTTCCTTCCTGAGTTTGTACGAAAGTGATGAATATGGACCTTAAGTTAGCAGTAAAATTAGAATGGAAAAGTGTGGAAAAAACACTAGAAATACTTATACAGAAAGAAACATATTTTTAGGATAAGCTACATAAAGTTCACTTAGTATGAAATAAGTAATGTCTTGTTTAAAAAAAAAAGAACAATCATAGCACTAAGAGAATAAAAGCAGGTAACTGCTGTTCATTCCCTGTAATGAAGTGTTGCCTACGTATTTGAATGTTTAGACTATCGAACTTGGGATATCATACCACAAGCATCAGGTGACAAAGATCTTTAGAGTCATTATAGCTTTGAAGTACATCTCTAAAAGATAAACATTTTCTCCCACACAAAATATCTTAAGTACAATTAAATTTAGTCCCAGCAAGACCTTCTCTTTGAATTAACAAAACATTTCTTATAAAATTATCTTCAACATCTCTGTGATACTAATACAACAAAAACTAATCCAAACAGAAATTACTGAACAATACAACCAGACTTAACTCTGAACACTTAATAAAAGTACAACCTGATTGCAAAGAATGTTCATAGGAATGTGAACTCTTAACATTAGGAACAACAGGTGTTATTAAAGATGTGTTCCAGAAGAATTTTGTTCTGAGATACACACAAATTACTTTCTTACAAGTCAACTTTCTAATATTGCTACGTACTATTTGAAATGATAGTGGTCAAATTTGTTATTACTTCAAATAATTTTTAAAATTTTTTTAAAAGACATCACCTGGACTCAAAACATCACAGACATTCTTTATTCACCAGTCTTTTCATATAATACAGAGTTAATACTCTCCTTGAAAGTTCATCCAAATATTGATATGCTCAGAACAGTATAACTGCTGCCTCTACTCCTATCAAGCTGCAGTCCAGAAATCAATAGAAGATTTTCCTCACATCTATCTAGCAAAGTGCAGGCAATTCTCTGTGACAGCTCAGAGCTTCTGGATTTTCAAACATATTCAGATTGATTAGTACAGCAATCTTACTTTGACCATCTTTGTAAAAGTAGCTTTTTACCTCCATATCTGGTCACAAAATTATTCTTCCCAGTTTTGTAGACCTGATGGAAAAAACTATTCCCTTCTTTTAGGCTATATAGTAGAGAGCAAGAACCATGCACAATTAAGTTTGCAAACCATATCAAAAAAAAAAAAAAAACAAAAAAAAACCCCACAAGCTGATTCGTCCCAGAATCATGCAATTTAGAAGGGATCTTGGGAAACTTGAGAAGTCAACTTGTACTCTAAGGAGGGCCAATACTGAATTCAGGCCAGGATGTATAGAGCTTAGTCCAGTTAGGTCTTTGAAAATTCCATGGACAGAGATCCCACAACCTCACTGGACAATTCCTGTCACTGTTTAATTATCCTCACAGTAAATTATTCTCCTTATACCTAGCTGGTATTTCCTCTATTGCAGTTTAGCACCATTTTTCCTCATCCTCTTACCATGTACCACTACGAAGAGCCTACCTCTGTCTTCTCGATCATCTCCCCGTAAGTTCTGGGGGCTGCTGCTGTTGGGTCCCCCCAAAGCTAACTGTTCTCCAGGTTTAACAGCCCTCTCCACACAGGGCAAGTGCTCCTGCCTGATCAGCTCAGCAGCCCTCTGCTGAGTTCCCTCCAGTTTAAACTGAACACTGGATGCATTGTCTAGATGTGGTTTCACAAGTGCTGAGCAGAGGGAGATATTCACTTCCCTCAGTCTCCTGAGTGTGCACCTGGTCACACAGACTAGAAGGTTTCTGGCCTTCTTTGCTGCCAAGGCTCCATGATGTCCACCAGGAACTCCAGGTCCTTTTTGCCAAAATTTCATCCTTGATGAATTTTTTAACATCCCCAGCCTCTTCAGCACCCTACAAACAGCAGCCCTGCCTGCAAACATATGAACTTGGTAAAAACAATCTTTCGATATGGTAAAAAATGAATGGCAATATCATTATTCCTGATGCTATGAGCAGTTCTTATTCCACCCCATACAAGTGAGAAAATAGGACACACTTTTCACTTCTCTTTCCTCACATCAATTATTCCACTGATTACACACTTGCAGAATGTGTTGTGTGTTTTGTTTTGCTTTGCAAAAACCAAGTAACTTATCGATCGTAACACCCAGATTTGAAATACATGTACATTTCTTCCTCTGTTTTGAGAAAATCTTTACTACAGTATCTTAAAGCTGTTCTCTGCCTAGGAGAATACTTGGAAGTACCCATTATCTTCAGTAAGTAGATTCTTATTTTTTTTCTAGTACAAACATTTCTAATGCTAACTGCAAAATTAGTAGGACTCCTTAAGCCAACTGTATTTTAATCTAGAAATCAGGAGTACTTTGTTGTTCCAAAATTTATAGATAGATATACATTCACCTTTCTCTACAAAATGTCTCCCAAGGAAAGCCTTCCAGTAATTTCATGCAACAGAAAAAAAAAAAATATCAAGAAGATAAAAGAAGCCTTAGGATAATCTATACTATGTTACTGAAACTGAACTCTAAACCTACTAAAATTCTTACGGACATGTATTTCGGATGAATTTGAATGAAACCTGGAAATGTAAATTGGTAAGTCTTATCTTCTTAGTTGGCAAGTTTTACCTTCTTTGTGGGTTTTGGGTAGATCATGGAATTAATTAAAATGTAAACAGTCATACTCCAGTGTTCATCCAGACCAAACAGCAGAGAAAAAAGTGAAGATTCAGAGAACAGAAGAGAAAAGAATAACAACAGCAAATTATAGAGCCTAAGTGGGTATAGTTCAAAAGGGACAAATGGTATTAAGTAAAGGATAAAATATCCCCAAAATGTTAAGGACATGATGATGAAAAGGCATCATCTCTCTGGATATCTGAAGCATGTAAAAATGACGATAGTATCAGATCTACGAGTTTCAGACTACCATCATCACACAAAGACAGACAGACAGACACAAATCCACTTGCCACATGTCAGTACCCCATTCAAGAGACTGCAAATATCTATCTACACTTGACTAGTGAAAGCTTAATTGTCATCAAGTTCAGAATAAACTGATACATTACTGAAGGGTTAAGTGCCTTGATCCAAGAAACACTTTCCACAGTGAAACTAAACTTAAAACAAACCTCAGTGAATGTTGAGAACCATAACCTCAAGAAAAAGCAGCTACCTTAATTAAATGCCATCCCACAGTCATAGCATTCATTGAATTGCAAAGCCAATTTTGTTAGATTTCAACTTACTCTCCTTTATAAGGCATTTTCAGTCATTTGAGCTGTTAGTATTTCAACACATTAATGTGAGCACTTGTTCTAACAGAGTTCATTGCATATTTCCTGCAAAATCTTCAGGTAACTACTACAGCCCATCACAAAAACAAGCTTATCTGAAATACTTCCAAGTTCTAGTATCCATCTCCTCCCACTGGAGGAAAAGAAATATATAGCCTGAAGTACCAACAAAACCAGAAGCTTGCTGAATCTGGCTTAAAATCATAGGAAAAGCCATACAACTACAACGATAAAAAAACCAAGTCCCAAAGAGAAACATGGTGAATGGGTTCTACTGAAATTTTAGTGTAACTGTCATTTGGCAGTTATGAACCAATCCAAAGCTCAATGAAATCAATAAATAATTGTACAATGAGGCGAATATATTCCGTAAAGGCTAATGTAAATAACTAAACCATTTAACAAAAAGCTTGCTCTCTCTCTCTCTGCAAGCAAAATTATGTCTTCTCCACATGTGATTAATATATCACATATCTTTTACAACAGGGATATTTCAACTCTTGTCAGACAGTGACTAAAATTTATGGCTGAGTTGTTACCTGCCGGATGCAACCTGGAGGCCATCAGCTGGATGGCCATCACTGACACAAGAATATCCTAAGGTACATATCCATAGCTCACCTGCAGTAGATCTGATACAATTCAGTATACAGCTGATGGCTGTATGCTGGTGAGATCAAGCACCTTTATCCCCCAGGGAAAACACTCCAGGTGCTTTATTTTTTACAAGATCTACATAACTAATTCTGCCATGTAAATATGTATCCATGGTATCTGCCATGTAAATATGTATGATAGAGGAAATTTTCTTCCTAGTGGCTGGTATAACTTCCTGGTTTGGACTTAGTAAGAAAATGACGTTGATAATAAAGAGATGGTTTTAGTAGTTTCTAAGTAGTGCTTATTCTGAATCAAGGACTTTTCAGCTTCTCATGACCTGCCAGTGAAAAGACTGGAGGGGAACAAGAAGCTGGGAGGGGACACATCCAGGATGACTGACCCAAGCTGGCCAAAGGAATATTCCATACCACATGATGTCAAGCCCAGTATACAAACAGGGTAAGAAGCTGGCCGGGGGCCACTGCTTGGAAATTGACTGGGCATCACTCAATGAGTGGTGACCAGTTCCACTGTGACTCACTTGTTTTTGTATATTTAATTTTATTATTATCATGATTATTATTTTCTTCCTTTTTTATTCTATTAAAGTGTCTTCTGATTCTCTTCCCCATTCCACTGGTGAGTGAGCAAGCGACTGCATGGTGCTTAATTGTCAGCTGGGGTTAAACAACATCAATATGGCACCAGACAATAAAGGAAAAAAAAAATCTTACGACTTTCAGTACAGATTTAGCCACCTAAACAAATATTTATTACTACAGCTTTTTCCTAATATACATTCCACCCAGCTGAACTTTACTCTGAAAGATAAATTGGACCATAATATTACATTAATAAGACTTTATAATAATAAGACTTAATCCCTCATGGTACTCTGCTTTGAATAAGAAGAAAACCATATTAAATGAAACTACTAACAATTTAAGACCTCAGATACTTTAATCCAAAGGGGACAGATCACAAATTACCTCAGATTTTTCCTATTCACTATGTGTGTATGTCCTCCTGAAAACAAGAAAAATAACTACATATAAATTTAGAAACATGGAGTTAGCTATTCACACCTTACCAGAGGTGAGTGCAGTGACATGAAAAAAGATCTGAGGATCAAGGCAGAAAGCAAAAAGAACGTGAGGTACACCAGAGTAGCACTGGTGCTAATACTGAGATACGGTATGTCAGCAGTATGAACTAGTACTAGGAGATTAATATTCTGTGTGTACCAGCTATTAAAGAGGCTAATATTTGTATAATCTACACACTTTTGAGGTCTGTTCTTCAAAGAAAAAACTGAAAGGATTTACAAAATGGTTAAACAAATAATTCAACATTTTCTGAAGAAATGTAAGTAGCTCAGTTTACTTATCTGAAAGAAAAATGTAAGCTGCTATCAAATTGCCTCTTTAACTACACATACTAGGGAAATACTTTTAGCAGTAGTTAGCATGACTGTAGCACACGTATATCTAATTCAATGAAAAATTCCACTCTGCATTGAGTATCTCTGACTATAACACGTTTGTACAAAACTTCCATTTTGGACTAGATTATTCACCCTACAATAACTGCGGGACATATAACAGCTTCTCATCTCTAAGAGGTTGAGGAGGTTTCTCTAAGCAAATAATCTACAATATATCATAAAAGATCAGGCTGGAAAAAGAAAGAGAGCAGCATGGTTTTTGATCAAAATGTTGATTCCTTTAAGAATTTTCAAGATTCATTTGAGGTGGTCTGAATTCTTGTCAAGGCAAAACTTGGCAGAGGCACACAGGGCAAGGAAAAGCTTTGATGACTGGTTTCTCTGTTGAAGAGCAGACAGCTGCAGATCACACTCCATTCCTGAAAAGCACCTGCAGTTATGGGTCTGCACCCTGAGGTTTCCCTGTAGAATCAGAGGTATGAACCAAGACTTCGATTTCCCCACAAAGTGATGGACATAGGATTCAGTGGCTGAGCCAGCTGTACCAGGTGGTACTAGGAAAAAAAATGAGCTGCTTCAGCTAGCAGAAGGCAGGAGATCCACTGGATGAAAGCCAGAGAAACCTCATACTACAAATACTGTACAATTCTTCATCAGATGCCTCCTCATCAAAACTTTACGCAGTGACTTGTTTACACTGAAGGAACAAACCTGATGCAGAAGCCAAGGTAAATTCTTCAGTTTTGCTTATTATTTTGTTTATTCTGATATCAGACTGGATTATCACAACAAATCCTACTGACTTGAACAAGCCCCAGTGGACGCATATTTTAGAAACTATTTTCCATCTTTGCCACGTCACTGAGATTTCCCTCTTCTCTAGAAGCAAGTTCTGTCCTGGTCAACTCCTGATGACCTTTCTAGTCTCTTCAGTTTCCTCTATTAGTTCGGTGGTTTTGCATAATTTAGCATTTTAAGTTTAGATATGCAGACACAAGTTTTTTCATAGGCCAGTGGGTCACTGAACTCACCATACTATTTTCAGCCTTATTAAAAACATGTTAAACTGCAAAATCAGGACTTCTGTGTCATCTCCAGGTTAATTCAACTTCACTTGAATTACTCCTTACAAATTACTACAATTCAGAGAAATTGTTTAGAAATAAAAGTTAGTGTCACTGTCATCCACCACCCTTTGAAAGGTTCTGTCAGCGTGCTATATACTGTCATTTAAAATTATCACTTTTCTTTGCTACTCTTTACCAAATAAGTTATGATACTGTTATTTTACCTAAGTACATGTTCAACTGAGCATGCAGTTCAAGAAAGGGCTATGCAGGTAATTTAAAAAGCCCTAATATACTTCTTTCATGAATGCTGTTACAAAAAATGCCCCTTTGCCTATCTTGGGAGATGCTCACATTTGCTTTCCTGTGAATTAAACATGCATGACTTTTTAGTGTGTATGTGTATATATATGATAGCACAAACCAAGGCAACTCACT